TGGTCTTGAACTCCTATGCTCAAGCAATTCTCCTGCCTCAGCCTCCTAAAGTGCAGGGATTGCAGAAATGAGCCCTGATGCCCCAGCCTCATGCATCTCTTGACCTCGTGATCTGCCCGCCTTGGCCTCCCAAAGTACTGGGATTACAGGTGTGAGCCACAGCGCCCAGCCCCTGCTTTCAGTTCTTTTGGGTATATACCCAGAAGTGGAATTGCTGGATCATATGGTAGTTCTATTTTTAATTTTCTGAGGAACTGTCACATTGGTCTCCATGGTGACTGCACCATTTTACATTCTCACCAACAGTGCACAAGCGGTCAAGCTTATTCTTTTATTGTTTATTTATTGGAGACAAGGTCTTGCTCTGTCACCCAGACTGGAGTGCAATGGTGCCATCACGGCTCACTGCAGCCTCCTGAATTCTATGTTTCCCAGGCTGGTCTCAAACTCCTGGGCTCAAGTGATCTTCCTATCTCAGCCTCTCAAAGTGCTGGGATTTTTTTTTTTTTTTTGAGACAGAGTCTCACTCTGTCGCCCACACTGGAGAGCAGTGGCGTGATCTTGGCTCACTGCAACCTCTGCCTCCCGGGTTCAAGCAACTCCTTGCCTCAGCCTCCTGAGTAGCTGAGATTACAGGCGCCTGCCACCATGCCCAGCTAATTTTTGTATTTTTTAGTAGAGACGGAGTTTCACCATCTTGGCCAGGATGGTCTGGAACTCTTGACCTCAGGTGATCAGCTGGCCTTGGCCTCCCAAAGTGCTGGGATTACAGGTGTGAGCCACCGCGCCCAGCCAGTGCTGGGATATTACAGGCCTGAGCCACTGCGCCTGGCCTAGTCTATTTTTTTTTTTGAGATGGAGTCTTGCTCTGTCACCAGGCTGGAGTGCAGTGGCGTGATCTCGGCTCACTGCAACCTCCGCTTCCCAGGTTCAAGCAATTCTCCTGCCTCAGCCTCCTGAGTAGTTGGGATTACAGGCGTGAGCCACAGTGCCCGGCCCACTTTCTTTTTTTTTTTTTTTTTTTTAGATAGTCTCATTCCGTTGCTCAGGCTGGAGGGCAGTGATGTGATCTCAGCTCACTGCAACCTCCACCTTTCAGGCTCAAGTGATGCTCTCACCTCAGCCTTCCGAGTAGCTGGGACTACAGGTACATGCTGCCACACCAAGCTAATTTTTTTTTTCTTTTTTTGAGATGCAGTCTCACTCTATCTCCCACGCTGGAGTTCAGTGGCTCAATCTCAGCTCACTGCAACCTCTGTCTCCTAGGTTCAAGTGATTCTCCTGCCTCAGCCTCCCGAGTGGCTAGGATTATAGGCGCATGCCACCACACCCGGCTAATTTTTGTACTTTTAGTAGAGACAGGTTTCGCCATGTTGGCCAGGCTGGTCTCGAACTCCTGACCTCAAGTGATCCTCCCACCTCAGCCTCCCAAAGTGCTGGAATTACAGGTGCGAGCCACCACACCCGGCCACCAAGCTAATTTTAAAAATTTGTTTGGAGAGATGAGGTTTCACCATGCTGTTCCAAGAAACCCCAGTGCTTTTCACCTCCATTAGTAACTACAGGAACATCTTCGTTCATCTCTGTCTCCCCACTTGTGAGATGTTCTCTTTAAGATAAACTCCTGGCAGTGAATTGCTGGGTACAAGGGCGTGTGTATTTAAAAAGATCTCAGATATGGCCAAATCATCCCCGTTGCAACCTGTGATGGGGACTCTTTCACATGCCCCTGCCACCACTGGGGAGCCCTTTGTGTTTATCTCACCAGCTGGAGCCCCCCCCCCCACCAGTTTATCTTTGTCTCACACTCACCTGACCTTGCAGGGCTCAGCCCCTTGCTCCAAGCCCTGTCCATGTGGCTTTTGCATCCCGAGGCATGAGTTCCTCTGCTTTGTCTGTCTGCTTTTCTCCGTCAACCTGTCACCTTCCCTTTGGGCTCACTTCCTGCCTCTCTGAGGCTCTGCCTGTCTCTGTCTCACTTTCCCTCTCGTCTCTGGTTTCCCTTCTCTGTCTCTCTGTTGTGGTGTCTCTCTCCTGGCTGGGTTTGATGTCTGTTTCTCCCTGACCACCTGCTCTGTCACTCACGCTAGTTTGAGTTCCCTGCCCTGGTGCCTATTCTGGGATATACGTGGGCATGTGGGCAGCCCTGGGCTGGCACAGGCAGCCTTAGAGGCTCTGGCGTCAGGGACCCCCATGAGGGCTACCAGTAAGAACCAGAGAGAGCGACTGTTCCTGGCTTCAGCCCCAAACCCTGGCAGTCAACATCAGCCTTGGTTGGAGCCCTAGGCTTCCCTCTCCCTCCCAAGCCCTCTCCAGGCAGAAGGCAACTTCCTCCCTTATTCCGTCTCCCCAGGGGGCTCCCATACCTGCTCAGACCAGCTTGTCACCAAGTCTGCCTCATCCTTAAGTGGATCGCGATACCCCAGAAGAGCAGCTCCTGCCTGAATAGGGCTAGCAGGGGAAAAAAAGAGGAAGAGGCCGGGTTCCTGAGCCACCCAGCCAGGAAGGACCTGACCCGGCCGGACGCCCCACCCTTGCCGACAGGCAGGCCCGCCCCATCTCCGCCCCGCCGCTGACAAGGAGGGCGAGCATGAGGCCTGGGAACTGCTGACCTGCCCGCCCACCTTCCCACCCAGACCCCGCCTTCCCGGGCCAGCAGGATGTGACAGACCTGTGAGTCACTCAAGCCTGGCAGGCCAGCTGTCTCTGTGGCTGAGCAGCAGCAGTCCCTTAATGAGCACTTACCTGTGCCAAGGGCCCGAGGCAAGGAGGAGCTGGTGCCTGAGTGAGACCCCGAGCTTCGCTTGCCGGGCCGGTCGCTCAGCCCCTGGTCCGGGTCCCCAGTCAGCAGCTGCTGGGAAAGGCGCAGGAGCTGGAAGTCATGCCCAATGCCGCGAGACTGGGCACCCCAAGGGCATAAGTCTTCTGTCCCTGTTCTCGGGTTCTGAGTCCCAGTGTGGCTGCACACTTCTGAGTTAGAGGTGTTTGATGCAAGTGCTCTGGAGACCCAAAGTGAGGGACAGTCCGCACATGATCTGGCCACAGTTGTGAAGTCAAGGGAGGACTGAAGATCTGCCCCAGAGAGAAGGAGACCCAGGGAGCTACCAGTCCAACGTCCTGGGGGTCCTGCAGTGATGCTGTTGGGACAACTGAGGTGCTCGGACAGAGTCTGAGCAGGCGGTGGGGCTGAATCCACTCGGCTTCTCATGGGATGGTTGCAGCTAATGGATTTAACGTGGTGATAGAAGGCTGGACAAATTTTAAAAAATCAATAAATTGGCGGGGCGCGGTGGCTCAAGCCTGTAATCCCAGCACTTTGGGAGGCCGAGACGGGTGGATCACGAGGTCAGGAGATCGAGACCATCCTGGCTAATACAGTGAAACCCCGTCTCTACTAAAAAATACAAAAAACTAGCCAGGCGAGGTGGCGGGCGCCTGTAGTCCCAGCTACTAGGGTGGCTGAGGCAGGAGAATGGCGTGAACCCGGGAGGCGGAGCTTGCAGTGAGCTGAGATCCGGCCACTGCCCTCCAGCCTGGGTGACAGAGCGAGACTCCGTCTCAAAAAAAAAAAAAAAAAAAAAAAATCAATAAATTATGGGCTGGCATGGTGGCTCATGCCTGTAATCCCAGCACTTTGGGAGGCCGAGGCGGGTGGATCACGAGGTCAGGCGTTCGAGACCACGTTCAAGACCAGCCTGGCCAACATAATGAAACCCGTCTCTACTAAAAATACAAAAAAGTAGCTGGGCGTGGTGGTGGGCCCCTGTAATCCCAGCTACTCGGGAGGCTGAGGCAGGGGAATCGCTTGAACCTGGAAGGTGGAGGTTGCAGTGAGCTGAAGTCACACCACTGCACTCGCACTCCAGCCCAGGCGACAGTGTGAGACTCCATCTCAAACTAAAACAAAAACAAAAACCAATAAATTATGGTTTAAAAATAAAAAACAGGCTGGGTGGGGTGACTCACGCTTGTAATCCCAGCACTTTGGGAGGCCGAGGTGGGCAGATCACCTGAGGCCGGGAGTTTGAAACCAGCCTGACCAACATGAAGAAACCTAGTCTCTACTAAAAGTAAAAAAATTAGCCAGGTGTGGTGGCGGGTGCCTGCAATCCCAGCTACTCGGGAGGCTGAGACAGAAGAATTGCTTGAACATGGGAGGTAGAGGTTGCAGTGAGCTGAGATCTCGCCACTGCACTCCAGCCTGGGCAACAGAGCAAGACTCTGTCTCAAAAATAAAAATAAATAAAAATAAAAATAAAAACCTGCCAGGCGCGGTGGCCCATGCCTGTAATCCTAGCACTTTGGGAGGCTGAGGTGGGCGGATTGCCTGAGCTCAGGAGTTCGAGACAAAATGGTGAAACTCCATCTCTACTAAAATACAAAAAAAAAAAAAAAAAATTAGCTGGGTGTGGCGGCCTGCGCCTGTAGTCCCAGCTACTCAGGAGGCTGAGGCAGAAGAATAGCTCGAACCCGGGAGGTGGAGGTTGCAGTGAGTTGAGATCGTGCCACTTCACTCCAGTCTGGCGACAGAGTGAGACTCCTTCTCAAAAAATATATATATAATAATAATAATAATAAATAAAAATAAAATAAAAATTAAAAACTGGCTGCTTAATGCATAGGGGGCTTTCTTTCTGGGTCATGAATATGTTTCAGAACTAGAGGTAGTAGCACACATCGTAAATGTATCAGACGGTATAAAATACTGTTTCTTGTATTATATATAATACACAATATGTGCTTGCATATATTGCTGTATATATATATTCTGCCATACAGTAGATTATACATTGCTACATATACATAGTATCATGTAGTACTGTAACTATATAAAATTGTATATGTGGCCGGGTGGGGTGGCTCACGGCTGTAATCCCAACACTTTGGGAGGCCGAGGCGGGTGGATCAGAGTGTGATGGCGGCGCCTGTGGTCCCAGCTACTCGGGAGGCTAAGGCAGGAGAATCGCTTGAGTCTGGGAGGTCGAGGCTGCAGTGAGCCGTGATTGCACCACTGCACTCCGGTCTGGGTCTGGCTGGATCTGTGTCAAACAAAAAACAGAAACACTAGAGAGCCAAAAGGCGAGGGAAGGCGGCTGCCGGAAAGCTGGAGCCCGGTGGGGTTGAGGCTACTTCCAGCCGCCCCGGGGCTGGCCTCGCTGCCGTCAAGCGGCCCGGGCGCGCTTTGCGACAGTCGGTGGGGCCTGGCACCGGCGCAGGTTCGCTTTCCGGCGGTTGCGGGGGGCCGGGGCGCCAGCGCCCGCCTTCCCGTTCCCTCCGGTTGCGCGGCGCGCCCACGGCCTGTGACCCCGGCGGCCGCTCCTCAGTGACAAGAGAGCGGGGCCGGGCGCGGCTCCGGCCTGACCTGCGAAGGGACCTCGGTCCAGTCCCCTGTTGCGCCGCGCCTCCCGTCCGTCCGTGCGCGGGCCAGTCAGGGGCCAGTGTCTCGAGCGGTCGAGGTCGCAGACCTAGAGGCGCCCCACAGGCCGGCCCGGGACGCGGGGAGCGCCGGCCGCGGGCCAGGTGGGGATGCCCCTGCACGTGAAGTGGCCGTTCCCCGCGGTGCCGCCGCTCACCTGGACCCTGGCCAGCAGCGTCGTCATGGGCTTGGTGGGCACCTACAGCTGCTTCTGGACCAGTGAGTGGACCCAGGCCGAGGCAGGCCCACCTGGGTACCTATGCCCGGCCGGAGATGGGACTTAGGGTGGGGGACGCCGCGGCCCCGACCTGGTGGGCGAGCCCTGAGCGCCTGACCTCTCCTTTCCCGCCAGAGTATATGAACCACCTGACCGTGCACAACAAGGAGGTGCTGTACGAGCTCATCGAGAACCGAGGCCCGGCCACGCCCCTCATCACCGTGTCCAATCACCAGTCCTGCATGGACGACCCTCATCTCTGGGGTACCCGGGCCAGTGTGCTGGGCAGGGGGAGGAAAGGCGAGGATTCGCGACGGCCCCAGCCTTGTCAGAACAAACCCCTTCTCGCTGCCTTTTCATGGAGCCCTGGCACTCTGGTTTCTGGGTGTTCTGCTCCAGGGCTGAGACTTTGATTTGTGACTCCTGCAGCATCCCCTGAGGGAGCATGATTTGGAGAGGGCCTTGGGCATGGAGCAGGACCAAGGAACGGCCACAGGGCAGGTCTTACAGCTCCTTTAACGTCAGTCCTGGAGAACCCTCTGTTCTCTAAACCATCCAGGGCCCCACAGTCTTGGGAAAAAATTGGGGGTTGAACATAGGATATCCTGTGAGGAAGTTCTGGGCCAGGGACTGGAAGCCCAGTGTCCTGGCTCCAGGTTTGCTCCTGGCTGGGCGGGTACCCTTCAGCCCTATTTGGGAGCCTGGTTGCCACACCTAGAGGTTCCTGCTCTGCTGACTTCACAGGAAGTTACTTGGCTCTGGTAACCAGATGGCTGGGTGGAGGGATGCCCAGGGCTTCCACTTCTGAACAGAAGGGTTAGACTGTCCTAGAGCTCGTGGGGAACCACCTGGCCGCACTGGAGCCCTTCAGAGCTCATCCTGGCTGCTGGGTGGAGAAAGGCCTATAGATGTCACAGGTGGATCCTGGGAGGCCAGGAAGGAGGTCTTTGAGCCATCCACTAGCCTAGACTGGGCTGGTGGCAGTGACAGTACAGGGAGAAGTATAGAAGAATGGGCATTGTCCAAGTATGTTGGGGAGGTAGGCAGTCCAGGTGCAGTGATTAGTAAGATGTGGAGGGTGGGGGAGAGGCAGGAGCCAGGGAGAACTGAACAGTCTCGCCTATGGGTCTGAAAGATGCCACTTAGGGCTGTAGGGAAATGGTAGTGCTGCTGTCCTTGTCCCTCATTCCCTGAAATGGGGTGAAGGAAGGGCACTCCCTGGGGATATGGGAAGTTGGGGCATGAAGTCTTTCCTCTCCTCTAGGGATCCTGAAACTCCGCCACATCTGGAACCTGAAGTTGATGCGTTGGTGAGGAGGAATGGGCCCCTCGAAGTGGGCCGGGCCGGCCCCACCTGCCTCTGCCCAGATTTGCCCTCCTCCTGCTCTGCCCAGGAGGTGGCGTCCAGCAGTCCAGGCAGGGCATGGGGTGGGGCCCCACAGGCCCTCCCCTGTGCCTCCCTTCTGCATGCCAATGCTGGGGGCAGGGTTGTCGAGCGGGGTGCAGGGGGCAGGACTAATTGCATCTGTCCCTGCTCAGGACCCCTGCAGCTGCAGACATCTGCTTCACCAAGGAGCTGCACTCCCACTTCTTCAGCTTGGGCAAGTGTGTGCCTGTGTGCCGAGGTGAGCTGCTCCTCCAGCGAGTGCAGGGAGGCACTTCTAGGGCAGGAAAGCTGGTCGCCAGTGTCTCTGTTTTGGAGGGACCTATGGGGGCAGGCAGCCCGGGAGCCAACATGAGGCCCAGCTCCATCACATGCCAGCAGAGGAGGCAGAGGCTGCAGGAGGAGGGATGGCTCCTTGGAGAGCCCTCAACTCTCTGCAACTGCCCAGGGATCGTGTGGACCTGGAACCTTAGCATTAGAATTCAGGGAGGTATTATCTACACCCCCTTATCTCAGACACGTCACTAAGAGACTCACTGAGAACAGTGCATTGTCATTGGTCCATGGTGGCAGTAGCATGTACCTGCAGGCCAGAGGGTTTTGCTTCTAGGAGAACAAACAGGCTTGTGGGGTGAGAACCCCAGGAGATAGGGGCCATTTTGATCCCTATTCAGGGAGGATCACAGAGATTAAGCTGCTGGCCCAAGGTCATGGGGTAGGAGGTGGCAAAGCCAGGATTTGAATCCAGATTGCTCCTCCCTCTGCGGGAGCAGAATTTTTCCAAGCAGAGAATGAGGAGAAAGGTGTTCTAGACACAGGCAGGCACATGCCAGGTGCTGGAGAGAGAAGAGAGAAAGGTAGGCTGGGCACAAGCGGTTCACACTTGTCATCCCAGCACTTTGTAAGGTCGAGGTGGGAGGATCAATCAAGCCCGGGAGTTTGAGACCAGCCTGGGCAACATAGTGAGACCCTGTCTCTTTAAAAATAAACATATTTTAAACAGAAGAAAGGTAGAAAATATAAGTTGTATGTAGAATATGAAGGTTCTAGAATAATCCTATTAAGAATTTTGGATTCTAGCTGGCTGCATTGGTGCATGCCTGCAGTCCCAGCTCCTCAGGAGGCTGAGGTGGAAAATCACTTGAGCCCTTGATTTTTTTTTTTTTTTTTTCCTTGAGACAAGGTCTGTCTCTATGGTCCAGGCTGGAGTGCAGTGGCATGATGATGGCTCACTGCAGCTTCTGTCTCCTGGGTTCAAGTGATCCTCTCACCTCAGCCTCCTGAGCAGCTGAGACTAAGGAGTGTGCCCAGCTAATTCTTTGTTTTTTTGTAGAGTTGGGGTCTTACTACATTGTCAGGGCTGGTCTTGAACTCCTAGACTCAAGTGATCCTTCCACCTCAGCTTCTCAAAGTGCTGGGATTATAGACATGAACCATTGTGCCCAACTGAGGCCAGCCTGGACAATATAGTGAGACCCCAGGTATGGATGGATGGATAGATCCATAGACAGACAGACCAACCGACCGACCCGACCTGGGCAATATAGTGAGACCCCAGGTATGTATGTATGTATGTATAGATAGATAGATAGACTGACCTGGGCAATATAGTGAGACCCCAGGTATGTATGTATGTGTAGATAGATAGACTGACCTGGGCAATATAGTGAGACCCCAGGTATGTACGTATGTATGTATGTATAGATAGATAGATAGCCAGCCAGCCAGGCGGGGTGGCTCACGCCTGTAATCCCAGTGCTTTGGGAGGCTGAGAAGGGTGGATCACTTGAGGTCAGGAGTTTGAGACCAGCCTAACGTGGTGAAACCCCATCTCTACTAAAAATACAAAAATTAGGCTGGGCGCGGTGGCTCAAGCCTGTAATCCCAGCACTTTGGGAGGCTGAGACGGGCGGATCACGAGGTCAGGAGATCGAGACCATCCTGGCTAACACGGTGAAACCCCGTCTCTACTAAAAAATACAAAAAAAACTAGCCGGGTGAGGTGGCGGGTGCCTGTGGTCCCAGCTACTCGGGAGGCTGAGGCAGGAGAATGGCGTAAACCCAGGAGGCGGAGCTTGCAGTGAGCTGAGATCCGGCCACTGCACTCCAGCCCAGGCAACAGAGCGAGACTGTCTCAAAAAAAAAAAAAAAAAAAAAAACTTTAAAAATACAAAAATTAGCTGGGCATGGTGGCACATGCCTGTAATATCAGCTACTCAGGAGGCTGGGGTGGGAGAATCGCTTGAACCCAGGAGGCGGAGGTTGCAGTGAGCTGAGATCATACCATTGCACTCCAGCCTGGGCCAGAGAGTGAGACCTGGTCTCAAAAAAAAAAAAAATATTTTTGTACTTGGCTGTGCTCTCTCATCCAGGTGGTGACATGCTTGTGTCTGTGGTTAAGAGATAGCATTTGCTGGGCACGGTGGCTCACGCCTGTAATCCCAGCACTTTACAAGGCTGAGGCAGGTGGTTCATCTGAGGTCAGGAGTTCGAGACCAGATTGACCAACATGGTGAAACCCCGTCTCTACTAAAAATATAAAAATTAGCTGGGCATGGTGACAAATGCCCGTAATCACAGCTACTCAGGAGGCTGAAGCAGGAGAATCATTTGAACTCAGGAGGCGGAGGTTGCAGTGAGCCAAGATCGTGCCACTGCACTCCAGCCTGGGTAACAGAGCAAGACTCTGTCTCAAAAAAATAAAAAAAAAAAAGAGAGCAATAGCATCCTAGTTTGCAATGTGGCTGCAGCAGGGCTAGGTGGACGTGAGGAGCCCAGTTCAGGGCTGTCACAGTAGCTCCAGCAGCAGATAATTGTGGCTGGGCCTCCAAGGGTCACGGTGGAGAAGGTGGAGAATCGGAGAAGGGGACTTCTTTGGGATGTACTCTGGACTTGTTGATAAATTAAGTGTAGGGTGGGGTGAGGAAGATAACTCAAAGATAACACTAGGTGTTGGAGCTGAGTCACGGGGAGACGGGTGCAAAGGGAAAGCAGTGCAGGGGCTGGGAGGGGAGAGGGTGAGTCCTGTTTTGCTTGTGCTGCATCTGAGGAGCCCCTCACCTGGAGAGCAGTCCCAGAGGCAGTGGGGTGTGCAGTTCTGGAGCTTAGAAGAATGATCAGGGGGCCAGGCGTGGTGGCTCATGCATGTAATCCTAACACTCTGGGAGGCCGAGGTGGGCCGATCACGAGGTCAGGAGATCAAGACCATCCTGGCTAACACAGTGATACCTCGTCTCTACTAAAAATACAAAAAATTAGCCGGGCGCGGTGGCGGGCACCTGTAGTCCCACCTACTCGGGAGGCTGAGGCAGGAGAATGGTGTGAGCCCGGGAGGCGGAGCTTGCAGTGAGCCGAGATTGCGCCACTGCACTCCAGCTTGGGCGACAGAGCGAGACTCCGTCTCAAAAAAAAAAAAAACAAAAAAAAAAATCAGGAATAAAGATACTGGGAATTCAACCACAAAGTCATGAATGCAGAGTGAGAGTCTGCAGGGCAGAGGCCCAGGATGGCACAGAGGGAGAGAGAAGCCACCAAGATGGCAGGGAGCCATGGCCAGAGAGAAGAGCAAACCAGGCGCCTGTGGCACATGGAAGCAGCAGGTGATTCTGGAGAAGCGTTTCCATGGAGTGACGGCTGCCAGAGCCAGATTATTGTGGCCTGAGGGCTGGTGGTGCTGCAGTTGGGGGGGAATGGAGACCGCAGGGGCAGCAACTCCTCCCAGAGGTTCAGTTGGGAGGAAAAAGAGACAGAAGGAAGAGTAACCAAAGGATATTAGAGGTCAAGGAGGGGTTTATTATTTCTAGCTGGTCAAAGTAGAATGTGGTAAAACCCCATAAAGTAACAACAAATAACAAAGAGGGGCTTTTAATGGAAAGCTGCAGTGCCCGCCCCTCACCTCCCTAGCCCCACTCCTCAGAAGCAGCCCCTGGAGCGGTTTCTCTTTCTGCTGCTTTTGGAGGCTACTTCTCTCTGTAAAGGAACTTCTGTCTCTGTTAAGAAACAAGCAGAGGCCACAGTGTCTTGGCAAATGACCGTGGCGTCGTTTATCCCAACCTGCTCTGAGAGATGAGAACTCTACTCATTCACCCCCTGCCCCTGCCTCTCAGTTCCTTCAACAAAGAACTAATAATATGTCATTAAGGCAAAGGCAGTATTTAGCACACTTGGCTTCTGTGTTCCAAAAAATTCCCTTTTTCTCCAAGCGTAGACTTTTTTTTTTTTTTTTTTGAGACGGAGTCTCGCTCTGTCGCCCAGGCTGGAGTGCAGTGGCCGGATCTCAGCTCACTGCAAGCTCTGCCTCCCGGGTTTACGCCATTCTCCTGCCTCAGCCTCCCGAGTAGCTGGGACTACAGGCGCCCGCCACCTCGCCCGGCTAAGTTTTTGTATTTTTTAGTAGAGACGGGGTTTCACCGTGTCAGCCAGGATGGTCTCGATCTCCTGATCTCGTGATCCGCCCATCTCGGCCTCCCAAAGTGCTGGGATTACAGGCTTGAGCCACCGCGCCCGGCCAAGCGTAGACTTTAATATGGTATTTAAGTATCGAAGTGATTTGACACAAGTGACACAAATAAGTAGTAGTAGCATTTGCAAAAGCTACAAATGATGAAGTCTTGCTCCAAAAGCATATTATTCTTTTTTTTTAAATTCCAGTTTCAAGCTCAATGGATAGGTTGCATCAGTGGGTTTTAGTAGAGAAGGGGCCAGTACCTATGAAGACTCCCCCCTACTGTTACACATGCTGTGTCCCAAGTAGGGAAACTGCTGCTTTTCCCATGCCCTGAGAAAACTCCAGTGAGTCGTCACCCTCCCTCTAGCCCGAGTGGGCTGCTGGGTCAGGGCACTGTTTGGGTTGGGTTGAGACTCCTGGATCCCTAACTAGCCCCTTCCAAAGAATCGGCCTTGCAGAGAACAAAGTTCATTGCCAGAGGTATTCCCAATGTCTGTCTCTCCCTCTGTGATAGAACTTCTTTACTCCCTACTTTATAAGATGAGGATATCTGCTATACCCCATTCCTTCAACCTCTCTACCTCCTCTTTCCTGTTTTGTCCGACATGTGGTTACTTTTCCATCACCGAGGTTGATGAGATCCTTACTGTGTACTTACTGTCTCCAAGCGTCCCCAGGCTTCCAGCCAACACGCAGCCAACATTGGCTTCAGAAGGAAGGAGGTTTGCATTTCCTTCTCTTGGGTCCAGTGTCATGGTCTCAGGGTTATCTCCAATGTGGAAAGTTGCTAGACCAGGAGCAGTTCGACTCCACTGTTTGCAGTCTAGCAAGTTTGAGTTTTTCCCAAACTCTTGATGTGTGTTCAAATGAATGTTCTCCCTTTCCCAAGAGGCCTCCCTATAAAGGAGGGTCTAGTTTCCCGGGGCGCCCTGAGAAGAAGGGGCCAGCAGGAGGGAGGAATGGTGGTGGCTGAGGCCTCAGGCAGGTGCCCTCTGAGGAGTGGCTGTGACACGTCGCTGAGACCCCAGCAAAGGGTTGTTGCCCAGAATCTGGGGCCTAAGTGAGGTTGGAAATCACAAATGCACTTGGTTTCTCTAGCAGCTGGCACATGGTAGGATCACCCCAGGAGTGGCACCTTCGAAGAGAAAGGAATACATGAGGCTCTGAGAGCGGTCGGCTGGCAGCCAGGGCCTGGCTGGGGAGGGAAGGCAGGTGGTGTGCCAACCTGGGGATCTTTGAGAGTGTGCAGGGGTATGTGGCTGAGCGGCCCAGCTGGTGAGCCACTGAAGATGGGGGTCATGGTAGATGGAGGAATTGCCAGGTCAAAATCTCAGTAGGAGATGACTTGAGATGATGCTGCCTGGCACTTAGGGGTTTAGAAGATATTAGGAAGGAAGCCCCACCATGTGCCCAAGTGCCACACAGACCCTGGAGACAGTCATTGGAGGGCATCTGTGTGGATGGCACAGTGGGGGATGGGAAGTGCCCAAAGCATGGGCCCCAGGGAGAAGGGCCTGTTTCATTGAGGTTTGGAGAGGGTTGAGGGTAAGCTAACCCATCACCCCACACCCCCGAGAATGGGGACTGATGGGGAGAGGCCTTTTCCTTGCAGGAGATGGCGTCTACCAGAAGGGGATGGACTTCATTTTGGAGAAACTCAACCATGGGGACTGGGTGCATATCTTCCCAGAAGGTCAGCAGGGCTGACTGGGTCGAGCCCCCGCAGTATGAGCGGGATGGGCTCCCAAGCCTCGCCTCTGTGCTCTCTCACCAGGGAAAGTGAACATGAGTTCTGAGTTCCTGCGCTTCAAGTGGGGTAAGGGCTACTGGTCTCTGGCCACAGCCATCCTCCCGGCCCAGAGATGGCCCTGTGGGCCCCTGGCTCCTGCCCCCTCAGGCTGGGTTGTATGGGGGTAATGGGTGTGTTGTAGCGCCAGGAAGGGGACAGGTGCTGAGACTAGGGCTTGCCTCGTGGAGGGCCTTGCCCAGGGGAGCTGAACTGAACTGGAGGATGTCCGGGGTGGTACTGGCCAGAGGCTGGCACAGAAACTTGGCTCAGGGCCCAGCTTATGCTAACATTTCTGCCTCCCCCCCGGGCAGGAATCGGGCGCCTGATTGCTGAGTGTCATCTCAACCCCATCATCCTGCCCCTGTGGCATGTTGGTGAGCCTGGGAACAGGGACAGAGAGATGGTATCTGGGGTGGGGGGCCTGGGACTCAGGCTGCCCTGCTCCACCCCACGTCTGGCCTTCTGTCCACTGTGCTGCAGGAATGAACGACGTCCTTCCTAACAGTCCGCCCTACTTCCCCCGCTTTGGACAGGTGGGTGGGGACTGCTGACCTTCGGCTGCCTGTCTGCCATCTGCCCCATGTCTCCCACTCAGCACTATGGAGGCCAGATGCAGGAGGAGCTGAGTGTGAGGCTACAGAAGGGGACTGAGTGGAACATCGACAGGGACTTCCTGGCACTGAGACATTAAAATGAGAGCAGAGGAAGTCAGGCTGGGGCAGGGGTGGGCCGTGGGGTCAGGACAGGACAGGTTATCTACAGCACAGGACCCAGGACCAGGACCTCGTTTTAGAGAGAGAGTGGCCCCTGGGGAATGTGTGGCACAGCAGGGCCAGGGCTTAGCTTCTGGCTCCCGGGTTGCTTGGGCTGGGGCTGTGGGCACTCCTCCTGCTCCTCATCACTCTTGGTGGCCACCCCACAGAAAATCACTGTGCTGATCGGGAAGCCCTTCAGTGCCCTTCCTATACTCGAGCGGCTCCGGGCAGAGAACAAGTCAGCTGTGAGTTTCCTCCTGGGTCCCCCATAGCTGTCCCTGGACCCCCTGAGGGTGCCTCCACCCTCTCCGTCCCGTCACCCTCCCAGGGCACCTTGGCCAAGCTTCCCGAGGGGTGCAGGCCATCCCTGGTCCTTTCCCTCAGGTGGAGATGCGCAAAGCCCTGACAGACTTCATTCAAGAGGAATTTCAGCGTCTGAAGACTCAGGCAGAGCAGCTCCACAACCACCTCCAGCCTGGGAGATAGGCCCCGCCTGGCCAGCCCCTGACCTTGCCTCCTCTGGGCCCTGAGGGAGCAGGCAGGGCTGAGGCTGGAGGAAGAGGCGGCACCAGGGTCCAGGCCCAACGGGGCTGGCTGTCCTTGCTTGCTGCCTTCTGGATACTTGGCCTGCACAGAGCTGGGGCTGAGGGATGGACTGATGCTTTTAGCTCAAATGTGGTTTTTAGACAGATTTGTTCATAGACCCTCTCAAGTGCCCTCTCCGAGCTGGTAGGCATTCCAGCTCCTCCATGCTTCCTCGGTTAAACAAAGGACCTCAGCTGCTTCTCCCACTTGGCCAAGCAGGGAGGAAGAAGCTTAGGCAGGGCCCTCCTTCCTTCTTGCCTTCAGGTGTTCTCTCCCAGGGGCTGGCGTCAGGAGGAAGCATAGAAGGCAGGTGAGCAAACAGTTGGCTGGGGGCTCACCAGAGCTGTGGAGAGGGGACCCTAAGACCCCTCAGCCTGGCTCCTACCCCCCACCCTTGCCGAACCAGGAGCTGCTCACTACCTCCTCAGGGATGGCCGCTGGCCACGTCTTCCTTCTGCCTGAGCTTCCCCCCTGCCACAGGCCCTTTCCTCAGGCAAGGTCTGGCCTCAGGTGGGAAGAGCAGCCCTTGGCCAGAAGTCAAGCCCAGCCACGTGGAGCCTAGAGCGAGGGCCTGAGGTCTGGCTGCTTGCACCCATGCTGGGGCCACCGACTTCTCCATCCTTTCTGCTTCTCAATATCACTTGAGTCCTGGGGCCTGAGTTTTCATGTTTTTAAAACAGAACCATAAAGCATATGTGTTGGCTTGTTGTATAATGCCTCTGGCCTCTCTGTAGGGGTGGAAATAGGAAGTGACTGCTGGACAGAAAAGCTGGACCCTTAGTGCTCTGGGCACATGGAGCACACTTGAGCAGATGGGCATTGACCTCTTCCACACCAGTCACTTAAGGGTTCAGTTATTGTCTGAAATCCCTGAAACAATGTTGCAGAAATAGGGATTAATCTCCTCATTTTGCCAAGGAGGTGGAGTGAGGCTAATGAACTTGCTTCAAAACCCAAAGCTAGCCAGGTAGATTGGGGCCACACTTCAGAGAGCCCCAAGTGTGGAGAATCAGTTGGATCCTACCTGGGCTGCATCATAGGTGGGAGAGGAGCTCTGAAGAGCCCGGCGAGTAGCCAGCCATGAGCAGTGCATGCTGCGATCAGGAGGTGGGATTGGGGTTGCCCAGATGGAGCTGGGGGTCCTGGGTGGGAGCAAAGGCAAATCCAGGGTGTTGGTGCAGACACAGTATTAAAAATACTATAACAGAAACATGGAAAGAAAGAAAAGATAGAACCACCAAAGATGAGCCAGCAATAAGAGAAGATTCAGACAACCAGGTCTTTCAGCAGTGTTGGTGCCTAATTATTTCAAAGTAAAAGTTTTTTTTTTTTCTTTTTTTTTTTGAGATGGAGTCTCCCTTGGTTGTCCAGGCTGGAGTCCAGTGGTGCGATCTCAGCTCACTGCAAGCTCAGCCTCCAGGGTTCACGCCATTCTCCTGCCTCAGACTCTCGAGTAGCTGGGCCTATAGGCGCCCGCCACCACACCTGGCTAATTTTTTTGCATTTTTAGTAGAGACGGGGTTTCACCATGTTAGCCAGGATGGTCTTGATATCCTGACCTTGTGATCCACCTGCCTTGGCCTCCCAAAGTGCTGGGATTACAGGTGTGAGCCACCACGCCCGGCCAAAATAAAAGGTTTTTTTAAAAAAATGACTAAAAAGGGAAAAAAATTGCCTGGGAAAAAACAAACACTTGTAATTAAATATAGATAAAAGCAGCTGGGCACCATGGCTCACGCCTATAATTCCAACACTGTAGGAAGCCAAGGTGGGCAGATCATTTGAAGTCAGGAGTTCGAGACCAGCCTGGCCAACATGGTGAAACCCGATCTCTACTAAAATACAAAAATTAGGCCAGTTGTGGTGGCTCACACCTGTAATCCCAGCACTTTGGGAGGCCGAGGCGGGCAGATCACAAGGTCAGGAATTTGAGACCAGTCTGACCAACATGGTGAAACCCTGTCTCTACTAAAAATATAAAAATTAGGCCAGTCGCGGTGGCCCACGCCTGTAATCCCAAGACTTTGGGAGACCAAGGCAGGCAGATCACCTGAGGCCGGGAGTTCGAGACCAGCCTGACCAACATGGAGAAACTCCATCTCTACTAAAAATACAAACTTAGCCAGGCGTGGTGGCAGGTGCCTGTAATCCCACCTACTCGGGAGGCTGAGGTAGGAGAATTGCTTGAACCCGGGAGGAAGAGGTTGCGGTGAGCCCAGATTGCGCCATTGTACACCAGCCTGGGAAACGAGCAAAACTTCGTCTCAAAAAAAAAAAAAAAAAAAAAAAGGCCAGGCGCGGTGGCTCACGCCTCTAATCCCAGCACTTTGGGAGGCTGAGGCGGGCGGATCACAAGGTCAGGAGATCGAGACCATCCTTGCTAACATGGTGAAACCCCGTCTCTACTAAAAAAAAAAAAAAAAAAAAAGCTGGGCGTAGTGGCAGGCGCCTGTTGTCCCAGCTGGAGGCTGAGGCAGGAGAATGGTGTGAACCCACGAGGCGGAGCTTGCAGTGAGCCGAGATCCGGCCACTGCATTCCAACCTGGGCAACAAGAGTGAGACTCCGTCTCAAAAAAAAAAATTTTAATTTAAAAATAAAAAGAAATGACATTTTGATACATGCTACCAAATGGATACTCTCAAAGGATTTTCAAGAAACATGCTAACTGCAATAAGCCAGAAACAAAAGGCTGCATATTACATGGTTCCACTTATATGATGTACTTACCAGCTTCAGATCCAGAATCAAAAAGTAAAAGGTTGTTTGTAGGGCCTGGGAGGATGGGGGAATGGGAAATTGTATAATAGGGACAGAACTTTAGTTTGGGAAGAAGAAAAGAGTTCTGAAGATGGATGGTGGTGATGGCTGTACAACAATGTGAACATTCTTAATGCCACTGAACTGTACAGTTAAAAGTGGTTAAGGCCGGGTGTGGTGGCTCACGCCTGTAATCCCAACACTTTGGGAGGCCGAGGCGGGCGGATCACCTGAGGCCAGGAGTTTGAGACCAGTCTGGCCAACATGGTGAAACCCCTATCTCTACAAATAAATAAAATTAGCCAGGCGTGTTGGCGGGTGCCTGTAATCCCAGCTACTCAGGAGGCTGAGGCAGGAGAATCGCTAGAACCCGAGAAACGGAGGCTTCAGTGAGCCAAGATTGCCCCATTGCACTCCAACCTGGACAGATAAAGTGAAATTCCGTCTCAAAAAAAAAAAAAAAAAGAAAGGCCGGGCGCGGTGGCTCATGCCTGTAATCCCAGCACTTTGGGAGGCCGAGACGGGCGGATTACGAGGTCAGGAGATCGAGACCATCCTGGCTAACACGGTGAAACCCCGCCTCTACTAAAAAATACAAAAAACTAGCCGGGCAAGGTGGCGGGCGCCTGTAGTCCCAGCTACTCGGGAGGCTGAGGCAGGAGAATGGCGTAAACCCGGGAGGCGGAGCTTGCAGTGAGCTGAGATCCGGCCACTGCACTCCAGCCTGGGCGACAGAGCGAGACTCCGTCTCAAAAAATAAAAAATAAAAAATAAAAAAATAAATAAAAGGCATTTCACAGAAAAGGAAACACAAAAAGCAGAGCGTGCACTGTGTGGGTTTCCTGTGGCTGCAGTAACAAAGTGCCAGAGACTGGGAATTTTAAAGCAACAGAAATTTATTCTCTCCCAGTTCTGAAGGCCAGAAGTCCAAAATCAAGGTGGCACCAGGGTGGGTTCCTTCTGGAGCTGTGAGGGAGAGTCAGCTCCATGCGTCTCTTCTGGCTTCTTCCAGTGGTTCCCAGCAACGCTCCGTGTTCCTTGGCGTGTGGAGGTGTCATTCCAATCTCTGCCTTCAGCTTCATGCGGCGCTCTCCTCCCTGTGTCTGTCTCTTTTTCTCCTCCTTTAAAAACACCAGGCATTGGACTAGGGGTCACCCTTATCCAGTATGACCTCACCTTAACTTGATTCTGTCTGCAATGACTTATATGGGGACACTACTCAACCCAGTGCATATACTCTATGACCTAGCAATTCCCCACCTAGTTATATACCTATTGAAATGAACATCTATGTTTAACAAAAGACATACATTGGCCAGGCGCTGTGGCTCACGCCTGTAATCCCAGCATTTTGGGAGGCCGAGGCAGGCAGATCATGAGGTCAGGAAATCGAGACCATCCTGGCTAACACGGTGAAACCCCGTCTCTACTAAAAATACAAAAAATTAGCTCAGCGTGGTGGTGGGCGCCGGTAGTCCCAGCTACTCAGGAGGCTGAGGCAGGAGAATGGCGGGAACCCGGGAGGTAGAGCTTGCAGTGAGCCAAGATCTCGCCACTGCACTCCAGCCTGGGCGACAGAGCGAGACTCTGTCTAAAAAAAACCCAAAAAACAGAAAACAAAAACAAAAACAAAACAAACAAAAAAAGACGTATACATAATTGTTCACAGTAGCATTAGCCATAACAGCCCAAATGGGAAACCAACCAAATGTCAACAGTTGAAGGAGGCAATCAATGGTGACACATTTATCCAGTGGAATACTATGAGGCAACATTGTTACATGCAGCCACTTGAATTAATCTGCCAATATTGAGCAAAGAATCTAGACACAAAATAACACTTCCCTTTAGAGTGGAGGAGAGGGCTGGGTGCGGTGACTCACACCTGTAATCTCAACACTTTGAGAGGCTGAGGTGGGTGGGTCACCTGAGGTCAGGAGTTCGAGACCAGCCTGACCAACATGGTGAAATCCCATCTCTACTAAATACAAAAAATTAGCCGGGCATGGTGGCACATGCCTGTAATCCCAGCTACTCGGGAGGCTGAGGCAGGAGAATTGCTTGAATCCGAAGGTGGCAGTGAGCCAAGATGGCGCCATTGGACTCCAGCCTGGGCAACAAGAGCCAAACTCTGTCTCCAAACAAACAAACCAAAAAAAAGAGTGGAGGAGGGAAAAATATTATACTGAATAATTTCCTTTATTTAAAGTCTCAAAACAGTCAAAACATATCCCATGATTTTTAGGAATGCATGCTTAACTGGTCAAACTATAAAGACCAAAGTGATTAGCATAAGAATCAAGTTCATGGTCACATTGGGAAGTGATAGGAAGGGAATGAGAGGGGCTTTTGGGGCAGTGATATTCAAATTCTTGACCTGGGTGATGCCATGGGACTGTCTGCTTTGATAAGCATTATACACTGTACATCTTTATTTTGTGTACTTTTTTTTTTTTTTTTGAGACGGAGTCTCACTCTGTCACCCAGGCTGGAGTGCAATGGCACGATCTCTGCTAACTGCAACCTCCACCTCCCGGGTTCTCAAGCGATTCTCCTGCCTCAGCCTCCCAAGTAGCTGGGATTATAGGCGCATGCCACCATGCCCGGCTAATTCTTTTGTATTTTTAATAGAGACGGGGTTTCACCATGTTGGCCAGGCTGGTCTTGAACTCTGGACCTCAGGTGATCCACCCATCTCGGCCTCCCAAAGTGCTGGGATTACAGGTGTGAGTCAACGCGCCCAGCCTACTTTTCTTTTTTGGGTTACGTTTCACCATGGCAGTGCTTTTTTAACAGGTCAGGGGAGTGGGAGGTGCAAGAGCTTGGAGGATTGAGTACTTGTGAGCAATGATGCAGTCTACCATGGTATCCGAGACTTCTTGCATTCTGCACCACAGCAAACAAGGGGAACCACCCAGTGTCTAGCAACAGGGAATGAGCCTAGCAGCTGGGT